TCAATTGAAAAGCAATTTGATTTTGGCGCGACACAATTCATTTTCTCGACGGCGATGCTCTTTTCGATGCGACAGAGTTCTCATTATTTTCCCGACAGACTGATAGAACTGACATGCTCAACGGTTCTACAAAATATCAACCTTTCCCAGTGTGTCCAAAAAAGAAAATTCATTCAAATTTAACTCGCAACACAACGCTACATTAACCCCATTCCCAGCCCATATCATCCCAATATGTCCGCAGCCAATCCCATCGCAACTTTTACAGCGCCAATCTCCCGAGTCGATTGAAAGGAAGCGAATCATTGGGCTCGCCGCGAAATTCCCGCTTTCAAATGAAATACCGCACCCCCTCGCAATTTCATGACCGATAATAAACCGCCGCACCCCTAGCATTTACTTTTCAGTCGATTTAATGGATCTTCATCCGTCGGTATTTGCTTTAAATTTAGAGACGACAGGGATTACGCAACATTTATGGGGAACTAAGCGGAAAATGGTGGAGGGTATACAACAGTGCAAGTTTTCGGATTTTCTGAAATTTTGCAGCTTGACTTGAAATAGGCCAAATAAAAATACCTGGAAATCTTAGCTAGCTCGTTGTAGGTGGAGCCGGGATACTACCCAAAAACAATGAGGAATTTTATACGTCTACTTGAGGCATATAAAGCCCCGACAGTTTGTATTGTGTGCGTTCCTATTTTTTGTGTTTGTCGCTGCCATTTCACGCTTTTGGCACCGACAACATGGGATGCCAATACTTTTTCGGCCCGCCTAGTATCAACAGTCTGTCGTGAAAATAATGAGCACAATGTCGCTGCGCTGACCGCGTCGCTGAAGTGAAAAGTAATTTGATTTTGTCACGAAACAGTTCATTTTCTCGGCAACGATGCGATTTTCGATGCGGCAGAATGCTCATTATTTTCCCGACAGACTGATAGGCGCCCAAAAAATCTTGACATGCTCATAAAAAAAAATGTTTCTCGGCAACGAGTAAAATTCAAGAATTTTTGGTTCGCCTAGTACTAATCTTCTTTTTTCATTGTGCAATTTTCACCCGGAATAGTTGAAAAAACATACGCGTCGACTTTGGAATTGTGCAGGACAAAAGGTCAACTGAACAGTGCGGAACGCTTGTGACGAAAAGTCTATGAGCTTCATGGAACGACGAGTAGGTTTCAAGTCACACCTCGATCAGTCTGTCGGGGAAATAATGAGCATAATGTCGCTGCGCCGACCGCGATTTGCGATGCGGCATAGTGCTCATTATTTTCCGACGTACTGATATCCTTTGACTTCAACCCAAAGCCCCCATTATTTTCTACACAAGTTTTGCACGTTTTTCATAATTTGCGTCAAATTGCTTGGAATATCCCCATCGGGGAGATCCCCGTTCAAAAGTCCCTCCAAACTTCCAACACTTTTTCGCTGTTTTCCCATCATTGTTAAAATACAAACACACGCGATTGACAAACAATTACAACCCTAAAAGCGGATTGTTTTTAATTTTTAATATGGTTATTTTCATTCGGAAAGATTTGAATGGGGAAATCCCCTCGAAATTTCGTCAATTTTAATTGACCTGTTTGCACAGATTTCTGGGGACTTTCTGATACGAACTATTTACTTTTGCATTTTTTTGAAAAATTTTCGAAAAACATGGCCAAGAAAATATGAGAAAATAAAGCAAAGAACAAGGTGAAAACATTAAAAAAAATCAAAATTTTCAGGACAAAAAATGCGCATCCTTGGATGCTCAACAGTCCTTGCGAAAGATGTGTTTTGGCTGTAGTGGCGGCTACAAAAAACTGTTTGATTTTTGACGAAATGTCGCCGAATTATCGAGTTACAAAAGAAAACTTTCCCAGAGAAAAAGTATTTTTTATCGAGAAAAATATTTTTCTTCAAAAAGAAAAACAATTTTTCGAACTCGATAATTCTGTGGCACTTTGAAAAAAATCAGAGATTCCTTGTTTTTCAATTTTCTGAAAGAATTTTTTTGACGTGGGCTACGGCTGCGGAGCCGGCGTTATAAGAACACACATAAGGCGTAAGTGACTATCAGTCTGTCGGGAAAATAATGAGCACTCTATCGCAGCGAAAATCGCATCACCGGCAAGAAAATGAGTTGCTCATTATTTTCCCAAAAAGCTGATAAATTACAGTGTTTTCATTTCATTTTGATCAAAAAATAATGTGGATTTGTCGCAGAAAGATGTCTGCCTCGGCACCAGAGATTGCCATGGTCAAAATTTTGGCTCCGGCTCCGGCTCTTAGCTCCCAGAGCCGGAGCCAAGGCCAAATTTGCAGCTCCGGCTCCGGCTCCCGGCTCTGTGCAAAATATAAAAAAGTCTCAGGCTCCGAATCCCGGCTCCTCGCAAAAATTTTTTTAAAAATATTTTTTTCGAAAATAAAAGTTATTTGTGCCCTCTGGTCAAACAGCCAACGTTTTTGCAGCCAAGTCGTACGCAACACATCCTTCCCAGTATTTCTCAAGCAAATCGGTTTAACAAGATCACGAAATTTTTAGTTTTCTGAGCGCTGAGAAGCCTGGCTCCGACTTTGGGCTCAGGAGCCGGAGCCGCGCCCAAAATTTCCGGCTCCGGCTCTGGCTCCCGGCTCGGAGCCGGAGCCGCTCAGAGCCGGAGCCAAGATTGCCACGGAGCCGTGGTAATCTCTGCTTCGGCCCAGTCGCCAGTCGCGCACCAAATCTCCGGTCGCTTAGCCGTCGCAAAGCAATTATTTCAAGACGCGACGAACCCATATTGTTTTCCCGACAGACTGATAAAACTGCGTCGCACCTGAAGCCCTCGGAAAGGTAGTGGCGGTTCGTCGCAGCAAAATGTTTCTTCGTCGAAAAAAGGGGGCAGCCGCGCATCAACTCTCCAGCCGCAGCTAGCCGTCGCAAAGCGATGATGAGCGATACCAATTCCACATTATTTTTCCGACAGACTCATGCCACAAAGTCGCCAAAAAATCTCCCGTGTCGCCGTCAATGTTGCCCCTCAAAAAACACACAAATCTCACCGTGCATCCAACACCAAATATTACTATATATTGTATATAATTTTCAAAACAATACCATCCATAAATCGAAAAGTTCATTACATTAACGAAACCATTGCGTAGGATTGACGCAAGTGGCCGAAAACATTCGTTCTGTAATCCTGAAAAATTACATTACAGTTTCACTACAATACACGGAACGCGGCGAACAAAAAGCAGGACGCAATCCGCTTATCGCGACCCGCCAATCATAATATTTGACGTCGGGAGTTATTTACAATCGTTGTAAATTGAAGGGAGTAAAAATGTGAGGAAACATTGTGTAAAGCGAAGGAATGTGGACATTGAAGGGATGTACTAATTGTTTCAGAAAGTGCGTGGACTTTTTTCGGCCTTTTTTGCATCGTACAGTGCATAATGCGTAGCATGTGTGTCGGAAAAATAATGAGCACTCTGTCGCATTGAAAATTGTTCCGCCGCGGAGAAAATGAATTGTGTCGCGACAAAATCAATTGCTTTTCACTGTAGCGACGTGATACAGTGGGGAACCTGACCCAAAGGCAAAAAACGTGCCATTTTGCATCCGGGAAGTATCAGAAATGTGGCACCTCCCTCTCCAAGTGAAAAAACCCCGATTTCAAAAGCGGAGAGGGAAGCATTCTACCACATTTTTGATGCTTCCCGGATGCCAAATGGTACGTTTTTTGGCACTGGATCATGTCCCTCACTGTAGGGGCAGCCATATTGTACTCACTATTTTACCGACAGGCTGATAATCGATTTGTCTCAGCAAAATGTCTCGCTTCGTCGCGGTCGCGCACCAAATCTCAAGCCGTCGCAAAGCGACGAGAGGGATACCAAGGTGCGGCATTATTTTCCGGACAAGCTATCATAGTGTTGTTTGAGACCACTTTTCCCAAACAACACTATTATATCGGCGGTTTTTACAGCATTCGACAACAACTTCTCGACCATTTGGAGGCCGAAGAAAGTGTAATCCTTATTTTTATAAGGAATTACTCTTTAACAAGAAATACAGGGTGCGGCAATTTTTCGGCCGGATTTGAATTGGCTATAACTTTTTTAGTTTTTATCCGAATGTTAAAATTCTTTTTTTCCCTGAATCCTCAGACAACCCCATTTTGTTTAATACCAAATATGTTATATATACAGGGACCTAGTTCATAGTTATTGGCATTTCGGTCGTTTTCTCTGCTTTTTCGGCGTGTGTGAAAATCGCCAGAAAAAATGACTTTTTTTACGAATTTTGTCGTAAAAAGTTTCATGCCTGTTCATGCCATGGAGATTACCGTTTCCACAAAAAATCAGCTATCTCCGCACAAAACTAGCGAGAATATAGCCAAAAAGTTTTTCTGACCGCAAAGAATCGTTGAATATCTTGGTTGCCCCTGAAAGGTGCGGGCTGAAACTTTCAGGAATTGATGTGTGGCCTATGTCCTTCCCATGTGCAAAATTTAAAGAAAATCTGAGAGTCGCACTAGGGGTAATTCCATTGTCAGCTATGAAAATTAGAGCTTTTTCTTTGTCTCGAATTTTTACTGTAGTCTAATGAACGGGTATAACATATTTGGTATTAAACAAAATGGGGTTGTCTGTGGATTCAGGGAAAAAAAGAATTTTAACATTTGTCCGAAAACTAAAAAAGTTATGGCCAATTAAAATTCGGCCGAAAAATTGCCGCACCCTGTACATGAATTATTGTCCTGAATCACTGCTGTTCTGTAAAACTTGACAGAGTGCATGGGTCTCCGAGGCATTTCCAATTTTAATCTGCCGATCTCTGTTTTTAGACTGTGCTTGAAAAGCTGTCTAAACAACCGTTTTACGCGCACAATCGCGGCTTTTTTCCACTGCGTCACGGCTGTTTGGCTGAATCGTTCGCACAGTGCAAACCGCTTTTTTGGGGTTTGCACTGTGCGTAAGCAAAGGAAAAGCGAAACGCACTGTGCGTCAGGAAAAAAACGGTGAAACGCATGGTGCGCCGCGACGACGCTTCTTTTGAGGTACGCACAGTGCGTAAGCGAAGAAAAAGCGAAATGCACTGTGCGTCAGGGAAAGAAGTCTACGCGCTTTTTGAAAACAGCCGATCGTGTCGCTGACAGGGAAAGTACCCCAAGTGCGACGCACAGATTTTGATGAAACTTGGCACAAATTTCAAATAATTTTTTCTTAAATATATGCGAGGATCCTAGCTCGCGCTTTGCAGAAACAACCGAGATTTTTAGATCGAAAGTTGTCGAAAATTTGACACTTTTTGTCGAATTTCGTCACATAAAGTTTCATACCTACTTCTACCGTAAAGTGTAATGTCTCCACAAAAAATCAATTTTGTCGGCACGGAACTAGCAAAGTTATGATCAAAAAACGTTTTTCTCTCTGACCGCTCTCCGCCTTTAGCGTACTCTCTCGGCGACAAAGATCGTTCAATATCTCGGCGGCGCTTGCAAAGCGCGAGCAAAACTTTCAAGAATTGATATTTAGTCTATGACCGACGCGTGTGCAAAATTTAAAGAAAATCTGAGCGTCGCACTTGGGGTACTTCTCTTGTGAAGTGAAAATCAATTTGATTTCGCCGCAACACAATTCATTTTCTCGGCGATGCAATTTTCGCTGCGACAGAGTGCCCATTACTTTCCCGACAGACTGATCATATCCATAGAGTTTCTTCCACAATTTCAACAAATTTTTTTGAACTCTCTTGTCTCCAAACGTCTTCGTTGCTCGCATAAATACGAATAATTAAAAGTCCAACGTAACGCACCCTTCAAAAATGTCTGTCAACTGCCTGCGGCGATGTATCAGACATCTTCACATTCAAATAGGGCCCTCATTGGGCCTCAAATTTCAAGCGGAGAAGCGGGAATTTCAACTCCATTCTTCCGCGTCTAATTCGGTTTTTAATAAACTTAAAACGCCCCTATCTCATCTCCATGATGACCCCCTTCAAATACATAAATTTCCAGGGCGAATTACAAATTCCGAAAACATCAACCGAAATTAATTTAATCGACAAATTTGGCATTTTAATTATCTTTTTCGGGGCACGGCAATCGAGGGGTTACGGTAGCGGAATGAGGAGGGATTGCGGGCTGAGTGGAAGGGGTTGAAGAACTCATTTTTTTTGTAGTTAGAGGATAAGGAAGCCAAAAAAACAGTGACTGTCAAACAGAGATTGCCACGGCTCCGGAGCCGGCTCTTGGCTCCGGCTCTGAGCGGCTCCGGCTCCGAGCCAGGAGCCAGAGCCGGAGCCGGAAATTTTGAGGTCGGCTCCAGCTCCGAGCCAGGAGCCAGAGCCAGGCTTCCCAGCGGTCAGAAAAGTAAAAATTTCGTGATCTCGTTAAAACAAAGTGCTTGAAAAACACTGCGGAGGATGTGACTTGACTGCAAAAACGTTGGCTGTATGATCTCTGGCACTATAATAACTTTTATTTTTGGAAAAATATTTTAAAAAAAACATTTTGCATAGGAGCCGGGATTCGGAGCCGGAGGCTTTTTTAAATTTTGCACTTGGCCAAGAGCCGGAGCCGGAGCTGCAAATTTGGCCTCGGCCACGGCTCTGGGAGCTAACAGCCGGAGCCGAAGCCAAAATTTTGACCGTGACAATCTCTGCTGTCAAACAAGTGTGTGGAATGGAGCAAAAATGTTAGTCTGTCGGGAAAATAATGAGCACAATGGCGTTCCGCCGATCGCGTCGCTGAAGTGAAAAGCACTTTGATTTTGCCGCGACACACTTCATTTTCTTGAGGATTTTCGATGCGACAGAGTGCTCATTATTTTCCCGACAGACTGATGTAATATCTGAATATCATCCTTTTTTCATGAGGGAGCGATATAGACCAGTCTGTCGGGAAAATAATGTGGATTTGTTGCAGCAAAATGTCTTGCCTCGTAGCAGTTGCGCATCAAATTTCCAGCCCGGCTAGCCGTCGCAAAGCGAAGGCGCAACAAATTTTCTTTACTTTCCCGACAGACTGATGCTTAATGAGCACTCTATCGCATCCAAGATTGCATCGCGAACTTGTAGCTGATCCGGTTTTTGATTTGGCGCTTGTCGCGATGCGCATTAAATTCAAGTAAAATCTAGGTTTCTGTATGTCGCACTGGGACCACTGCCTATACTATAGTTTGGACAAAAAATGTGTTTTACAAGAAGGATTATTTCTTCTATCCAGGGCAATCGCTACAAAATAACGATTACTTCCTCCACTGAAACAAAACGCGAGATCCTGCCCACACAAACTCGCCTCCAATTCATTAAGTATATGATATTTGACCATCCGAAAACCTTGATGACTCCCATTATGCCGCAAATCCCCAAAAATCCCCTGTCCCACCAGCAGTGGACTGGTCCCTAAGCCGCGACCCCGAAATTATTTAATATTCAAAATGAAGGCGCCCCGGACAACCCGCCGCCCTCCGGGCTTAATTGAAACTCATTTCGTTTGGCCTTGATTTGTGGCCATTAAAAGAAAAGAAAAGCGCGGAATGGGCCCTTAAAAGCCGTTTTTTATTCCTTTCAATTCGTCTTCCTCAAATCAAATAAAATTACGGACCATGTTCGAAGAAAGCCCCGGCGGCGTACGGTAGAGCCGAGCGAGAGAGGCTTACGAAGCTTCTAAGCTACGAAGAATTGAGATTCTTTTGCGATTTGAGGGCCGATGAATGGATCAGTTTATGGAGAGGTTTACGGGACAAAAGCGGGTTTTCGGCGCGGTGGAAATACAGTTAAACCGCTGTACAACGATTTGTAGAAAAGTAAAAACGAAATCCAAGATTCAACATTGAAGGGATTGAAGTTAAAAAGGTTCAGTAGGGCCAAAAATTGACTCCTCTGAAGTGGCGCGTTATAGTATGTAGTTTCATAAAGCGAGCAGACTTTTTTTAACTTTTCATCGCAACACTTTTTGCACTGCGAAAAATTGCCACAACGTAAGGCTTTTCAACCACATAATTTTTCGAGCTCGATATTCTGTGGCACTTTCGCGAAGCTTCGCAAAAAATCAATGATCCGAGTTTCCTTGTTTTTTCACTTTTTTGAAAGAATTTTTTTGACATGTGGGGCAACTAGTAGACGGGGTTTCTTGTACAGCCATTTGGTTTGAAGAGGTTTCAGTGAGGCTCGGGTAGAACTAGTGCGTAGACTGGGACAACGTATATAAGCAGCCTGTCGGAAAAATAACGAGCACAATGTCGCTGCGCCGGTCGCGTCGCTGAAGTGAAAAGAATTTGATTTTGCCGCGACACAATTCATTTTCTCGGCGGCGATGCGATTTTCGAAGCCACAGAATGCTCATTATTTTCCCGACAGACTGAAATATTGAATAAGTGGGCAAAATAAAAAGAAAATAAAAAAAAACTTTAGCTATTGTTGAAAAAATTGGCATTTTAACAGGCTCTATATTTTTTCAACACCTACATATGTTATAGGTATCTTTAAACGTGTGTTGATTCCAAAAACGTACAAAACATCTCGCATTTCCGCTCTCAATTCCCGTCTTCCTTCAACGAGCGGGATATAATCTGAAGGACTCGCATTAAATGGATTTTTGGCTCTCCAAAAACGGGCATTCGAATTAAAGAATTTCTGGCCCAAAAATATACAAATATAGGGAGGAATTAGGCGCCGTAGAAATGGGCCAATTGAAAAAAAGCAATCATTTCGATTGGGCCGCTTTCGGCCGCGCCCTTCTTCTCGAGTGGCGCTTAATGGCCTACGGTAACCTGAATTGAGAGAGAGCGAGAGAGAGAGAGAGAGAGAGAGAGCGGACGGAAAAGATGGGGAAGATAAGTGGGTTGAGGGGTTATGGTAAGGGTAGAAAAGGGGTTTTGGGTGATTTTGGCAGAAACTTGAAGAAAAGAACATTACCCTCTACAGTAGAAATAAGTACAAAACTTTTTATGAAAAAATTCGCAAAAAAAGTGTCACATTTTTGCCAACTTTCGGCTTTAAAATTTCGGTTGTTTTCGCAAAGCGATAGCTAGAAATCTTGCATTCAGATTGGCAAAAATTAGGCTAAATTTGTGACAGGCTTCATCAAAATCTAAGCGTCGCCCTTGGAGGACTTTTCCTGTAAGCTCGATTGCACTGTGCGAAAAAATAAAAACGCCATTTAAAAAATCGTATGTCAGCAACTGACAGAATGCTGAAAAATATATGAGCTAGGAACCGTGATCCGCCGTATTGTACCTTTCAAAATTATCAATGGGTATCTTGCCCGACGAAATTCGCTTAAATTTTGACTGCACAGTGCAAAAATTGAAAAGCAGATTGGAACAGGTACGGCGGAGTAAAAAAAAATTTTTTTTGCAAGCAGTGGTATTTTATCTGTAGCAAAAACATTCTACTCTTCTTCTTTAATCAAAATTTTGGAGTCTTCCGGGAAAAATTTGCATAAATAGTAACCGCACTGTGCAAAAATTTAAAAATTGGACTAAACAGTACCAAAGCAAAAACTTGGGAAAAGAATGCTTTCACTCAAGTTTACTAACTAAATACTTTTGTTGTGAAATAAATTTGCCATAAAATTTACGCATTTTTTATTTGAAATTTGAATAAAATTAAATTGCACAGTGCAAAAAAACAAAACTTGCCCTAGCAAGTCCAAAACAAAAAAATCAGCCAAAAAATAGTAAAAATAAAAATTTACTGAGTAAATACAATTCCTACTCCCCAATTTCCTCCCAAAATTTCGTATTATTCCCGAGGAAATTTAAATAAATTTTAATCGCACCGTGCAGATGTCACATGAAAGCCGGCTGCCTCACACAAAAAAAACGGAGACGCAATTAATCCGCTTGTTGCGGAATAATTGGAAATTCCCTGAAAATTAATTCCACATCAATTTTTATGACACTTTAATGCACTCTGTCCCCGAAATTTGCATAATTATTGCGCAATTAGTTATGGTAACGTAATTATTTGGAGAAATGGGTAAAAATCTATTGAATTAGGACAAAGTGTTGCGCCATTGCAGGTGGTTCAACTGTTCGAACCAGTTCTCGGCGCAACAAAATTTGCATAAACCGGCGCTCAAGAAATGCGAATGGGTTCCGAGGGGGAAGAGATTTGGATTTTCTTGAGGAAATGGAAAAAGAGTGAAGGGTTTAGAAGTTTTTCTGATGCTAAAATGCGCTCAGAATTAGACTGTTTATGAAAAAAAATTTCAAGCGGGATTTGTACAGCAAAAAAAAATATTTTTATTTTTTATCGTGTAAGCACATGCCCGAAATATCACTGTAAAATTAATTTTGAGGCCATAATTGATATTTAAAAAATATTTAATGCAGTTTCCGACCAATAAAACAGTATTATAACAAAAAAATTTTATTAAAAATCAAAAAAAAAATCAAAAAGAAAATCAGTTTTTAAAGGTAAAATACGACTTCGTTTTTATGTTTTGTTATAAAAAATGCAAAATACATCTCTACTTTTAGCAATTGGAAAGCATTTTTGCAAAATATAAAAATATTTTTTTCCAATGGGACTCGAACTTGCAACCTTTTGAACGAAAATTTACCTCACTACCAGTTGCGCCATTTCGACACATTTTAAAAAAATTGCAAAACATCGAATTTCGGTCTTATAAAGATACAAAAAAGCAATTTTAAACAATAAATAAAATAAGTTGAGCCCATTCTTCCCACCGGAAATTACAGTAATCCCAACAATGGCCAATTAAAAATTCCAAATTTCCCTCAAAATCGGATTGGCCGGAAACCCGCGGCATAACCCCACCACTTGTTCATGGGCTCGAATCGGAACTAATTTGCTTACAAATTAATGTCATCTATTCAATGGGGGCCGCAAAAGGCAAAGTGCGACAGCCGCGCTTCTCTCAAGGACTCGGCGCAAAAAAAAAAAATGATTTTAAGGACCGCGCGACCGGACGGAAATGAGATACAAATTTGGTGGAGGCGGCAGATGTGTGTGTGTGTGTATAACGGTCATCATGCGGAGGTTGCCGTGAACGCCGAATTGGCTAATCGATTTTTTTTGGATTTTGAAGAGGAAATTCGGAGATTCTATAAAAAATCATTATAGAATGGGGAAAAAAGGCTAATTCAGGGCGAAAGAAATTTCAGTGCTTGCTAGGATATCTAATCACATTGACAACGAAACCTTTATACAACAACTTTTCTTTATGACAAACAATTTTTGCGGCTCAAAGCAAAAATTGAGCTAAAATCCAACTTTTTTCAAAAAAAAAGCAAATTAACTATCTAAATTAAGGTTCTTCTGGGAAGAAGACACTACTTCAGGGCTTTACAATTGCTTTTGAAATGATAAACAACAATAAAAAATCCATTTCAGAGTTCTTTTTTTCAGGCGGAATCGAACCTGAGCCGATTTTTTTG